TTTAAAATTAAAAGATTATAAAACGATAATAAAAATACTTAGTTTATAGAATTGTTCACATAAAAATTTTGTTATTTTTCTTCTACAATAATATTTTTAAATAAAATAAATCACACCAGGTCTGTTTATGAATATAAAATTTGTGTAAAATTTGAAATTTTTAACTTGAAACTAAGGGAAAATGTAAACGTATACATCTATTTTAAAAACAGAAGGAAAAAAATCCAAATTCCTTCTTCAAATAAATAATACAAAATAAATTTATTTAAATTTTGTTCGATATTTGGACAAGCGGTGTTTTACATTTAAAATCGTTTAACTGACATTGTGAGCTTAAGGGAATGGAGCAATATTGCACGGAAAGAATTTCTTTTTTAAACAAACACGTTTACGAAAATAAATTCTTTTTTCAAAATCGTGTAAGAAGGTTTTCGGAAATATTTAAACAGGTCAAACTTTTTGAATGTAATCATTGTGACCATTTGCGACTCTATTGGGATTCACATATTTAATTGTAAGGAATTAGTCGCAAAAAGTTGCTTATTAGACTATCGTTAATGACTGTTCTGTTTAGAGTGGAATCGTAACTTAAGTGAGACAAGTCACGTAAAAGTAAACACCTGACTTTAATTCGACAAACAAATTCGATAAAAAGTAAATATGAGAGGAAAAAGTAAATATGAAAAAGCCGTAAAAAATACAGCCGAATATCGCTTATACTGTACAGAATTCCGTATCAAATTATGGTAAAAAGGCGTGCAAGTACACAGGGTGGAGATATTTTTACCGCAAAATCCATTTTTAACGGAACATGAAATCTGATGGACCGTAATTTTTAAACTAATAAGTACCTTAAAATCACTGAATCACTCTAATTAGGTAAATATTACTTTAAAAATTAAGGTATAATATTTTACGGTAAAAAAAGGAATGTTACGAATGATGCATCCAAAGTGCTACTTTATACCGTAATTTGATCCGAATTAATCCGTAATTTTTTACAGTGTAGGGCTTAAAAATAGGTTCATAAAGTGAAACGTTATTATGGCTGTAATACTTTTTACTTTGTACTTAGTATATTTTCAGAATTTTTAAAACATTTCCTCAACATAAATTCTGCCCTTGAACAGAGTTGATAGACACACATTAATAATAAAATATTATTGAAAAAAAATTAAAAAAAACTTTTTTTTTTGGTTTAGCACGAATAAGTAAGAAATATAATACTAGTTGCAACTTAAAATAATGAATTTAATCGATGAATACCTCTGTGGAATTTTCCATGATATTTTGTGCATTTTATATAAAGTTGTGTTGGAAGAATTTCTGATAATATTTTTAAGAAAGCCGACAAGTAGTCGGTGGTTTATTTTAAATTATTATACGGGGATAAATATTCTGGTAACATTACCATACTGTAAGGTAATGACGTTTCTGGTAGCAGAATCCTTAAATCTGGTTAATAAAACCAAAAGATACGGTATTTAAACTGATTATTAGGTAAATTTTTTATTTATATGGTAAAGGTTAATCAGAAATTGTTGTTTTCAATACTATAAAATCTTATTGCCACACATTTAATGAAAAATACAATACTGAAAAATAAATTTAACCGAATATATATTTTTTATGCCGTCCTCCTAAGGTATCATTGCCTAATTTTATCACATATCACAGTGATAAGATTTATCACAGTTTATCACAATTTTATCACAGTTTAACTCAATACTAATTTTATCACATATTTTATGGTTATATTTCATTGTTAATTTTCCGGAAAACATTATTAAAGCGCTTCGGTAAAAATTACCAAGCTTTTGGGTGTTCCCATAGAGCAGTGTTTCCCAAAGTGTGGTAAGCGTACCCCCAGGGGCACGGGAACAGTTTAGCGGGGATACGCGTTCTTATGCGAAATATCTTGCAGAAAACGAAAATTAAATTTTTTTTATTTAAAAACAAAGCTGGCCATAAAATTTTACGATTACGTATGTTTCTATTGGCTATTTTTTGCAAAGTTAACAGTTAATAATTAGTGGTGTTAACAACTAGTTGTGATTTTTAACTTTTGTGCAATTTTTTCAAAGTAAAAAATACATAAATTTTTTTATTAGTGGTACATAGCGTTACGAAAAATTTAGAAAGGGTACACAGAAGTCATAAGTTTGGGAAACACTGCCATAGAGGCTGAAACATGGTACATTTTACTATATTCTGGTAGTTTCGACCATACTTTTTCTCTCAGTGTATTATTATTATTCGAAAAAAATCACCAACTTTTCATCTGAACCAAGAAAAGTTAACTGAAACTTCCTTTTACTTTTCGAACTTCGTTGTTTAACAGTTGTAATTTGTTACTAACGCANTCTTCCCAAACTTGTGAGAATCCTTAAACTTATTTTTTAAACTTGTTGATTTTTTTTAACTTGTATAATTTTTTTTTACGGTTGGATCGCTCTACATTCAGATCTCTCTTTTACTTTCGTGATCAATGCCATTTTATGTATTAGTCATATGTTTATGGATCATTATCGGATCGTTAAGCTTCCTCTTTATGAGTTTAAAATGTTTTTATTCACTTGATTAAAGTTAATATGGTGATAGGTTTCTCCACAATAAGCGGAAATTCTTCATTAAATACATTAAAGTCTAATATTATTCGATTTCAAAACAATTTAAGGCAATTCATGATTAATGAAAATTGCTGATTTCCATGAGAGATATGGGTCATTAAAAACTAGTATTTTCGAATTAGAATTAACAAAAGAAATAAGTAAGCAAGCTTTAACTTTCAACTAGCTAACGTTAACTAACTAGTTTTTAACTAACTAATGTTAAGTAACTAACTTTTAACTAACATTGAGTTTTTCTCATGTGTAAATGTGCATATATAAAATAATTTAAATGTTATAATAAAACTAACTAGTATTTAAAAAATTATCTTTTTCAAATAGACTAAAATAAGTAATGTTATTTCAGTCAGATTTCAAACTAATAACGTATCACTATTAAAAGATAGAAGAAGATTCAAATAGATTCAGAAGATTTGTTTCGAAAATCATCCTTATACATTTTTCGTTTCAACACTGACAGGAATAATTGATTCTATTAGTTCGTTGAAATAGTAAAGTGGTCGACTGGTGATAAAATGGTGACTTATTTTGCTTACATTTGGATTATTTTACTATTATTTTAGATTATTATATTAGCTTACATTATTTTAAATTTAGAAAACAGTTGTAAGTATTTCGAAATTTCGACTGACGATGCATTTTATTTGGCTTGTACATTATTTGCTAGAGAAAATTCGGAGCTTATATTGTCCTCCAGCATATAGCTACGTTTTTAATTTAAGTACTATGGCTAGTTGAGGAGTGGCCAAAATTTTAACTGATGAAAAGTTCGCTTTTTTGATTAGAGGGCGATAAATTTACAGAGTTATTACTAGACCACAGGATCATTGGGGAAATTTGAGAACTCCAGTTAATTAGTGAGTGGTCAGAATTTCGATAAATAATAAATTCCCAATGACAATATTTAGGCATGGAATTTTAATTTTAGTTGTCATGAAACGATTGAAACATAAGTTGTAATCGGGCACAACGCACCAGGTCAGGTTTGAGCATTTAGTTATAAACTCACAATATATTGGGGCATCGAATTCAGCAAGTCACAAAAACATTTTGATCTAGTATGAGCTTATATAACCGAACATATCCTTTACAGCTGAAATCTAAGAAAGTTCGGCATTTATATTTCCTACAAACATATCCTAAACTATTACTGTATAAATTATTAATTGTTGTAAAATTATTTGGTAGCGAAAATTTTTTTTGGTAAAGCATTTTTTAAAAAATTATATTTTATAATCCATTTACTGCCTGTTTTTAGAAATGACTCTAAAAATATATTGTAGTGAGTTCACAAAATCTTGCTATGAATTTTAAGTAATCATGTGTTTTAAAATTTATCAGTGGCAGCATGGATTCAGCTTTCAGTTTGTTGATAATATAATCTATTTTTTTATTTACAAGTCCGACTTGAAAATAGTTTTTGCAATATCCAAAACGGTGTAAATATTTATAAATTAATAAAAAAATTTGTTTGTTTGTTTGTATTTAACGTTTTTTGCAAGTTTTTTGTTGTATTTTGTATTTATTCTATTTAACAAATATTTTAGTTAATACTTTGTATGAATGTTTTTCTTTGAACAGCACATAATGTTTAAATGAGTTGGTATGCGTTTTACAAAACTTTCCTAAAGTTTTAAAATATTCAGCTGTTTTGAATAAACAAAAATGTTTGATTAGAATATATTTTTATTAATTTTTTAGTTCATTTCATAACAGTTAATGTAGGAAACATTATAGAAACAAAAAAAAGACATTTTGAAATTTATGAACTCGATCCAAAAAAACTTAAAACAGAATGGAAATAGCGGAATTTTAAAATGCTTTTCCAAACATCAATTAAAATTATCTGTTTCATAGGGTATTTTAAGTCACTTCTTGAGTTAAGCTACTTCGTGAAGCAAACCAATCTATTTTTTTAAATTACAAATTAAGCTCTACTTGAAAATTTATTTTAATTTATTTATTATTGAAAATACGAATTTAGTGTTTGCCAATACTTTAACATTACGAGACAACAACCCTATAAGATTGTCTAACACACACATTACTAAAATGATTTTTAAGAATGAGTGATGGCTTTACATAACTTTCATACACCCACTGATATTAATAGAGCTTGTTGTATCAAACTTTTAAATAAACTTGTTATATCAAATCTGTAGATAAACTTGTTACATTAAACTTGTAAATAAACTTGTTAAAAAAAACTATAATCTATTTTTTTTTATTTCATAGCTATTATCATCAGCACAAAGCTTTTGACAAAGAGTCTCAGGAGTTTAATTTCATAACTGTTTTAGTGTCTTAAACAATAATTATGATAATTTTATTTTTAATATAGACTAACTTAGTCTTTTTTTTAACTTTCAGATAAAGCAATTATGTTTAGTAGCTATCTATTCGCTACTTCTGATATCAGGAAGAACAGATGCGAGACCAGATTTTATTGAATCTATGAGCCGGCAATTCTTTGGTATTTCTGATGATGGTGGTCACCAACACAATCAACAGCAGCAAGATCCTTTTTCTGAAATGTTTGGATTACAAAGCCAAAAAGTTCAATCTAGACCACCTTCTCCTGTGCAAAGCCATCGATATAGAACTCACCCTCCTTTGCAGAATCATTCGCCAGGACACCGCCCTCCAGCTCCTAATCATCATCAAAGCAAACAACATCATCAAGGATCTGCCCCTCAGCGTCAAGGTTATTATCTAAAACCTCTTAAAACTCATCATCAGTCTCCTCATCATCAAACTCATCATGTGCATGCCCAGCATGTCAAACATGACCCACACCCAGAATACAACGGTCCTCCCCCAGTATATGGGCAACAGCAAGGTTTCGGACAACGTAATCCTGACGCAAATGATACTGCCACTGTGGGTCATCCCGCTGAGAAACAAAGTCATCATCATATTCAGCCAACACAACTGCATCATCAACAGGCTCGACAACCAGAATACGCAATTCAGCATTATCCTAAGCATGAAACTATAGAGTACCATCAACCACCAGAAACTGTTGTAGAATATCAACAGCCTCCAATAGAATACCATGCTCCCCCGCCATCAGAGTATCATCAAGTTCTCCATCAACCAGCTGTAATCGAAGAACATCACGGACCTCAAATAGAGATACATACTGAACCCCATCACCATGAGCATCCAACTCATGTAGATTATCATCATCCTCCAGAGGAACATCATCATACTTTTACCCTTCCTAAACCGAAAAAATTTCACCTGAGCTTCAACCAACCCAGTCCTGATTACAAAATAATCGATAAGCACTTGAAAATACCTCCAGTAAAGTTTCGATTTCACATAAATCCTAAAATTACGATTACAACTAATACTAAAGATCCCCTGGATAAGAAGCATCACGATGATGAACATGATTTAGAGCCATATCCTCCACCTGATGCGTTTTCTGATCATGACGCTCCTCCATCCTACAATGAGCATGTACTTGAACATTATTCTCCTCATCACCATCACCCATCTTCATATGATATTCAGAAACAATATCCAGCAGACTATCCAGAAGCAAAGCATTATGCAGTGGATCATGGACACCATGCTGTTGAACATTACGCAGTTGGACATCATACTGTAGAAAAACCAGCCTATCCACCACCATATCATATTGATCTCAGTCAAGGGCATAGCCATCACAATCCCCATCGCAGTGGAAAGCATTATGAGCCAACCTTTAAAGTAAAAACTAGACCAATAATATTCACAGAGGCCCCACCAACCAAAGCTACGACAACAACGACCACTGCGAGACCAACCAGATCAACAGCACGAACGACGACAACTACTACAACAACAACTAGTCGCCCAAGAAGTCGATCACGAGCTCGCTTGAGTGAGAGAAATCCCAGTTTTTCTGTCGCATTTACGCAAACATCCTCAACAGCAACTACGCCAATTGAAAGGTCAGAAGTTGTAACTAGTTCTTCAACTACCTCAACTTCAAATAACTCCGAAAGGGAAAGAGAAAGTAGTGGAATTTCAGCACGAAACGATGATCGATCATCAACCTCGTCTGCTACATCTCAAGCATCTTCAACTACTACAACAACTATGTCTACTTCTACTACCACTACAACTACTACACCGAAACCAACAACAACTACTACAACTACACCTCAACCTACAACGTCGACTACTACTACAACAACTACTCCCAAGCCTACTACAACAACTACTACTACCACTACACCTCAGCCAACTACATCGACTACAACCACGACTACTACTCCGAAGCCTACAACAACTAAAGCAGTATCCACAACTACTCGTTCAACTCCTGCAGAAGAAACAACTCCTCGTACCACAACGGCAATTGTCAATGTTGGCGACAATGAAATCGACATGAAGAAAGAAACCGACTCTCCAAGACGCCGACCTGAACCTTTACAAGTAGAAAGGTCAGAAACACTTACAATTGAGAGCTCTGAATCTGTTAAAGTGATTGAAACAACAATGCTTATCGATGGTAAAAACCAAACTGTACGATTTTACTATATTACACAACCTGTCAAGCTTCCTCCTGAGTTGTTCCAGAAAATGACAGGACAGAATAAATTATCCACCTCGGGTATGAGTGTTATTAAACTCAGAGATAAAAGATTTGTAATGAATGTCGATGACTTGGAATCAATCGAAAATCTATGATCAAGTTCCTGCAGGTTCCAGGATTTAAGTTGAAACCAGATGTGATATTAGCAATAATGCCGATTATTTTTGTTACTCCACAAGGGCCAAAAAGAACAATTGAATTTTATATGTTGTTTTGTCCAAGTCATTATATGTTTTAAATAATTTGAAAGATAGTGCCTGATAACATACTGCTTGAAATTTTTCTCGTTAGAATTTACTAAAAGCTATTTATGAGAGCATTTCAAACAAATTTAGAAGAAAATTTTTATGTTTTTTTTATTTTTATGTTTTCAGTTCCAGTTTAATGGTGCCAATTCATAAATGTTTGTTCTAACTCAAAGTTTTAGAACATTATATATATTAAAAATAAACCAAGTACAACGCATTTATTAGCAGGTGAAGTAAAAAAAAATGCTAGCGAAAGAAACTGGGATCAATAATCTTGATTTTTCTTGTTTTGCATGAATGTCAACCAGTTTTTTCATCTAAAACCATTAAAACAAGTAACACGTATTGTATTTTAATAACAATTCCTAAACATACTTGTTATTGTGGATATGAAAAAAATTATAAACGTACAAAACCATAATAGTTGAGAATTGTAAAATGGCTTGCCGGTATAAAGACCTTTGGGAAAGAATACTGAAAGGAGTTTTAGTTTTTATCAAAAGATATAAGAGTTTATTAAAGTGAGAATATATTCTATGGTGAATAGGGGAATCCAGGTTTCAAATCCAGGTTTTGCTATAACCAATGTTCTAGGAATTATATAATAATAAATACTACATGACGAACGGTGCCATATACCGGTAACAAGTCGTGGCAAAGGTGCAGTATTTATGCAAAGTGAATAAATATTTTGTGGATAATACAAGTTATTGGGAAAAAAGCATCTAACGGGATATTAGCCCCTTGAACAAAATGGGCTAGAATATTTAATCGCGTAGAATTTTCATAGCTGCATATTATATTCTTGTCTTTCAACAGAAATCATACATCAATTGTTACAAATGTATAACACTTGTATGCATAGTTACCTCTTTCTTTTTCTGAACATTATTTGTGAAAGAGTTACTTAAAATAAGCTTTCCTAATTAATTTCCATGAACTACATCGAACAGAAGTTTGAATTTACTGATGAATAGTCTTATTATCATTAAGTACTTTCAACACACAGTTGCACCTTAGAATGATAAAGCATGAGCTCTTTTTTTCCCTTCAATTTTTGAATAGCTTTCAATGATAGCTGTCCAAACTGCAATGATATTTAGGATTTTCATTTATTGTGTTCATCAACTGGCTTGTAATCCTTTTTCTTATAGGTACTCAAATATCATAAATGCCAAATAATAACGAATCAAGATTATGAAGATAAAAAGAACTTACTCGAGAGGCGAATCGAACTTAACATTGACCATTGCAAAAGTAACTTTACGAATTTACAGAGAAGTAATGATGGTAGTAATGATTGCATGTATTAATGATATTCAAAATTTAATAATAAAAATTAGAGTAACATCTGATTTTGTAAGAACAGTGATTAAGAGATCTTCTTGCTTAATGAAACAGGAACGAAAAATTACCCTAACTCATGGCGTTAAATATTTGGTATTGAAAAATATTTCAAGATGTTTCGTTGCTTTATTGCTTCTTTATTTAGTCAATAAGAAATTTTTTACGTGCTTTTAACGATGAAATTACTGGGAAGAGATGATAATTTTTATGACTGACTTCGGATAGTAACTAACAATTTTGAATACCTATTGAACACGTATTGATGATGAGCATTTTTAGGTTTGCTGTATTTATTCCATAAATCAATTAAATATCACAAAATAAATAATAATCATCAGATAATTTTTAGAAAATCTATATTAAATTTGTCATGATTTCATGATGAAGGAAATTTGTTTGGCTTATGTTAATTTTTAATTCAGAAATACCGAATTAGTCAGGTTCTTAATTTTCATAATTAACTGGACTAAATAGATAAATAACAGTAAGAGCAAAATTAAAAATCTTAAAAACAATTAAGCGAACAAAATTAAATTAGTATATAGTCGAGAAGATAAGCATAGATTATACCAAGAGAGGGTTTTCATAGGGTAAAGACATTTTTATTAACAAAAAGTCACGAAAAAATAAATTTTAAAAAACGTTAAAACTAACAGATTACTTGTTTCTTATTTTGTGTCATAGTAAGAGTTTTGTTATATATTATTTCACTTTGTTAAAGAAAGTTTTATATTATACTATTATATTTCAGAATTAAAATAATTTCCAGTTACGGAGTTTATAATATAATACGAGTCCTTAACCTTTTACAAAAAAATAAGAAAATATTGCAATTCCTGCATCTAAAGCAGAAAAACTTTGGAAAAGATGAAAAAAAAATCAAAAAGAATATAAAAAAATAGAGTTTAGTTTTCTATGAACACATTGATTTAGTATTCATTAAAAAATTCTTAAGAAAATTTTAATTCTAATTTTAACAATTATTTAATATGTATTCTGTATCCGAAATTTTTTTTTGTACGATGTAATTAATTATTATGCAATATTAATAATTTCTTATACATTAAAATTAACTGCTAATGATTACTGTGTGTAAAAGAAGCAAATATATAAAAAAACTCTTGATTGCATAATGTTATTCGTTAAACTTAGTTAATATTGTCTTAATTTAAAAATTATTTTAATGTACAAAACAAATAATATTTCACTAATTATTTTTGACATAAATATTTTTCCAGGTAATAAAATTAAATGCAAATGTTAGTCATAGCCTATGAAAGTGTTTGAATTTACTCCTTTGTCATGAAATTTCTTTCAAAAGAATAAAATTTTCTTTAATTTAATAATTAATTCAATTTTTATTTATTAATTTTATTTTCAATATAATATAATATAAGTAAGCGATTTCAGTTTAAAAGATAGTTTACTATCCATTAAAATAATAATTCGTTCAATAATTATTTTCAGCATTAACCCTTTCACGCAGGTAGGACACCGGTGTCCCTCTAATATATATTTTTATATCTCACTAATTACAAGCAAAAATATACTTTGGTACTTTTTTGTTACAAAAACAGTCTAATAGTTGCTGTTACTAAGGAAAATTGGCTGGATTATCGGAAATATATTTATACTAAAATATAATATCCCAAAAAAAGTAGTCAGAAATTTTATATTTATTCATATTCAAAAATTCATCAGTAATTGATTTTGTAAACTAAAAAAATTTTCCTCACAGTTGAAAATAAGTGCAAATTTGAAAAATTATTGTTTGGAAGATTTCACCTTTAACTCAGAAAAAGACATCGGTACTTCATGCTGTATTTTATAACCATAAATAATTAAAGTGCTAAATATAATATTTTTTAAACTTATTTTGATATAAAAACAGAAAATAATGAAAAATTTCGAAAAATATGTTTAATAAAAATTCAACGTCAAAGAGTTAATAGTTTTTCATGCAATGAAGTCAAATGCTAAAGTTGTTCTTAGACTGCAAAAATGTCATGATGTTAGTCACAATACTGTATAATTGTTATAACGTGTCTTAAACATATCACAGATTTAGTTGCAAAATTTTCTCAAAACCTTTAAAAAACCTATTTCAATTTTAAAAATACTCTGGTATGCATTAAATTTATTATTTCCTTACTTATCTTTCGCTAATAATAGTTTCTCATGCAATGAAAACCAATTCTAAGGTTATTCATAGTCAGCAAGCTTTTTAAAAATTTATTCATCATTATATTTCTCACAATTAATAATTGTTTTAAAGAAAAGTTGGAAGCATAATTTTTTAAACATACTTAAAATCTATTTTCCAGCTTTGAAAGTATTCTTATAAACATTAAACTGGTAATTATTTCATTACTTTACCTATACTTTCATTACTTAACCTTTGCTTATACTTACCTACACTTTCAATAAAATGTCCAGTTAATTCATATACTACCAGCTGTTTTGTTTTCTTTTATTAGCTCAACAATATATATATATATATATATATGTGTGTGTGTGTGTGTATGTGTTTAAAAGAGCCCTATAAGGAATATTAAGTTTATTCTACAAGCAATGAGAGTATAATTAAAAAAAGGCTTATAAATATATAACGATAAATATTGTATTACTGTTTTTTGAACTCTTTTGTCACAAATGATAGGCTATATTTCAAAAAAATGGCTAAAATCTCAATACAACATGCTTTAAAAAAAATCACGCCTTCTTAAAATTACGTTAAAAATCACGTCTTCTAAATAAAATTAAGTAACGTCAATATTTTTTAAAAAAATTTTCTTACAAGTTCTTACTTTATTCATTAACTATCTTATTGCACACAAAATATTGCTAAGTCCATTTTATGGGAAGATTAAAAGCTTGTTTTATGCGAAGATTAAAAGTTCTTTAACAGTTATTAAACACAGAGAAAGTAGAATCGTCTGCTTAATGTAATAAATTTAGCCATAGAATATTTGTTAAAATTCAGCCCCTTACAGTTTCAGTATTTCGAATAGTTGAAAAGTTGAGAAAGAATACATGTGCTTTTCTAGAACTCAACCTAATTCTTTTTAAAAAATATATATTCTTTTTCGCACTCAGAGTTTGAAGATTTATTAAGTATATCAATTAATAAATCTTCAATTCAATAGTAATTTATTAATTATGAGTAAGTCTGCATAATAAAATGTATTAATACTTAGGAATAATATCTTTATTAATGCATTTTTATTTCATTAATATATTTTTATTCTATTGAAAATAAAAATTTTGATTTATTAAAAATTGTGTTTTTTTTTTGTGTTGTGTTTTCAATAATTCAAATGATATGGAGTAACAAACTATCTCATGATGAAATAATTCCATGTTTAAGCAAATAAAATGCTAAAAGCTGGAACAAGACTTGAAGGATTGCCACTCACCATGACACGGAGTTCCACGAACTTCGTTAAGACGAAGTTGAAAGATAGAAATAATCTTTTCGTATTAACCAAAATTCGTATAAATCAATAAAACAGCAAAAGACATTTAGGATGAATAATAAAACACTAAATCTAAGATCATAGAATTTAATGGCACCTGTAGATAAATATTTTATGGCCATTTCAAATTTGATCAGTGAACTGTATGCTATAATTTTTGATTCTTAATTAGAAGAATAATGATAAAAATTTCGTTCAAATGATGAAATTCTCTTTTATTTACAACTAGAGAAGCATCTTTCTGGTTCTATATCTCAAAAATAAACTCCATGCATAATAAAATTAAAATGAAAAAAATAATTCTAAAAAAAAATCAGCAGTCGCCATAGTTACTCGTGTAGTTACGACGCATGTGCACTGTTTACTGTTACTCTTGAACAATCAGTATTTTCTAACTATCGCCTTACAAACAGGCTAATCCGCACTCACACATATACTTACATAACGATAGTATTTACTGTAAAATTTTTAAAAAAAATTAACAAATGACTAGCTCGGAAGGGAATGTTTAATTATCTTTTATCTCATTAAGAAATATCGTTTCTTCACTTTTGTTTAAAATTTTGTATTTTACGTTTGATTATAAAAAAATCGAATTTTTCCAAATTATTCAAAGAAAATTGAAATTTCTTCACTGAGAAAGAAGTCACGAATGAGTTTTAAGAGAAGCAGTTGCCTTAAAAACTGTCCAGTGCTTAAAACTTGTCTCCTTTAGGAAATTTCAAAACTTGTTTCAATAGAAAGGCTTCCTCAAAGGCCTCAAGGTTCGTGGCCATAGCGGTATTTTGGGCAATGAAAGAGCAGACCAATTGGCTAGGGAAGCTACGTGTGGTGAAATAGACTTAAGGGTGTCTGTTCCAGCTTCTCACTGGAAGCGCATCGCTAGAGATAAAATCATTGCGGACTGGAATGCAGAATTTCTTGCTTCGCCTCGGTCGCTCTGGACGAAAAGGTTCTTTCCATCCATTTTTCACCGTTTGCAATGTAAATTCTTTGCAACTGATTTTAAATTGACCCAAATTTTAACAAACCATGGAAATTTTAAAAGATATTTATTTCGTTTCCATCTGCAGACCAGTGGAATTTGTGCTTGCGGTGATGCTGATGAAGATGCTGAACATATTCTTCTTCACTGTAGTCTCTATGCGAGTGCCCGAATGAATTTAAAGACTGATTTGAGACGTCTTTCAATTTGTTGGCCACCTGTCTTATCAGAACTGGTCAAAAGTATTGAAAGTCTTGCGGCCTTGCGGAATTTTGTTTTTAATGTAAATTTGTAAATTTTTCTCCTTTTGTTTTTTACTTACAACTGTAAGCCTCATGCTATACTTTGTGGTGCATGAGGAGTTTTAAGTCATTTAAATAAATAAAAAAATAAATAAAAAAAAGGTCAAAATAAGGAATTTCTTCGTCGTAAATGGGAGAAATGCGTATGTTCCTATTAAAAAATCTATTATTATTTTCCAAGATGACAGAAGGTGGAAATTTTTTCCCTTTGTCAAGAGACTCTCCTCCTCCCCTTCATCAAGCGT